ATATATATATATATATATATATATATATATATATATATATATATATATATATATATATGTACTACTGTCCAAAAAGTAAGACCAATTTAAATCGCGCGGGTAAACCGCACAACATAAATATTTTTTTTAAGTTGGCAGCATTGTGACAGATATCTGTGACAAATTTCATGTCAAAACATTCATTACTTTTTGCTTTACGCTTGGTTTTATACGACGCTAAAAGTGCATTCGGCGATTTTTACAATGTCTAATTATATGAGCAAAGAAGTTGCATTAAATTTTGTTTGCGGAATGAAATTTCGGGTGCAGAAACGTTCAGGATGTTGCAGAAAGCCTTCGGGGACCATGCTTTGTCGGAAAGGAATGTTTACAAGTGGTATAAACAGTTCAAAGAAGGTCGTGAAAGTGTTGAGGACAAAGAGCGTTCCGGACGACCATCAACTTCTACTGATGAACAACACGTCAAGAAAATCGAAGAACTTGTGCTTGCTAATCGTTGAATGACTGTTAGAGATCTTGCTGATGCTGTTGGTATTTCGAAAGGATCTGCCAATACCATTTTGAAAGATAATTTGGGCCTGAAACGTGTAAAATCTCGACTAGTGCCAAAACATCTCAATTACTGTACTCGTTCTTCGTGACTTTTTCGCCAAAAATTCGATCCATATCGGTCCACAACCACCGTATTCGCCTGATTTAGCACCGTGTGACTTCTGGTTATTCCCGAAACTCAAAAGACCACTGCGGGGAAATCGTTTTGAGACGATAGAAGAGATACAACGTGAATCGCTACGCGCTCTGAAAGCCATCCCGGAAGGCGACTTTAATTCTTGTTTCGAGGACTGGAAAATACGTTGGCATAAGTGTATTGTGTCGGGAGGGGATTACTTTGAAGGCGACGAAATAGATTTGGAAGAATAAATAAATATTTTTTTAAATAAATAAAAACTGGTCTTACTTTTTGGACACAGTAGTATATTTATAGTTTAGTCCAAAAATTCCGCAGCTTATATATAATGAAAGTGTGGATGCTCCAAACAGAAAAGTTTGGAAGAACATTGCTTTATCTTTGCATTTGCATTTGGAAGCTTAAAAATATCGAAAAGTTTGCAGAAATATATCTACACATATATGGTTAGGTTTTCCATTGAATATGATAAAACAAAACAACACACATTCATGTATATATAAGAAATACGAAAGGGATAGCGTGATTATGTTAGCGATGATCGTCTCTGCATTATCGACATTGTTCGAGTTCGTCATCGACTCCAAAACTGTTTGTCTATGTTTTATAAGCGATGATCCTCTGTGCCTCCCTGGTTCACTGTGCCCCGCTCTCCACTACTTATTACTTAAACCGCTTTCAGCAAATTAGAAACGTGCACAAACGCGAAGAACGAGAGTTGTGTAAAACGATGAAACTATTGCGTTGTGCGATTTTACACGGAGTAACGTTGACTGCGCTTAACCCTTCGTATACGCAATTATTTTTTCGATCTTCGCATACACACCGGTTGGTTGTCACCAATAGCAATTTCAAACAGCTGTATCTTTTAAAATATTTATGCGAAAATTAAAAAAAAATTAATTAAGTTTAATAAAAAGTATTTACAAACTTTTCGTATTAGAATTTAAGAAATTTCATATTAAAAAACAATTATTATATTTCGCGATTTAAAAAAAAATAAGTTTTTGCAAACATTTGTAACTTGTAATTTTTATTACTTTTAAGTAAAAATTTAGCATTTTATTGTTGAAATGTTTATCTTTAAGAAAAAAATTATCTCGTAAGTTATCTTTGGAAAATGTATATTTATTTTAAATATCAAAGTTCCATTGTTTTCACTTCAGACAGCTGCCAGAAGCTAACTAACGGTTATTTTGTTAGCAAAGTGGAATCAAAGCATAGTTAAGACCCCAAACTACAATTAGATGGCGACACTAATTTCATTTATTATGGTATTTAAAAGATACAGATAAATTTAATTATGGGTGGTAACCACCCAGTATGTATACGAAGGGTTAAATCCCGAAGAACTCATCTTACTGCGATGGTCGAGGACGGAAAATGCTTAGGAAGAGGAAATCCGAATGGGGGAATGGGGAAATACGCATTCAGTTCTATGTATCGTTTCATTTTGCAATAAACTGCACTCGCGACTTAGTAACGGCCGATAGTATAATGAGCGACTGCGTTTAATAAGCGAAAGGCCTCGAGTCCGTCTCGAAAATATCTTTTATATCCTACACGTACACGTGTAAATTTTCAACTTATTTACTATTTAACGCGTCAGTCAAATTATTTATAAATGAAAATATAATAAACAAATAAGTCCGCGATCGATAAAAAAACACTACATATCGTATATAAATCCCGTTAATCATAAGGTCAAACTAAAAGGTCACGTTGTATCCATGAATAGTGGTCTAAATTAAGCCGCTCATGAAACATAGAAATGATGAACCTAGCCGGTTCGGCCCGGAAATCTGACTGATTAGAACGGTTGCGACGATATTCCTTCACGATTCTAGTCCAATCTATGTTGCACTGGTTAATCTATGCCTAATAAGGTGATAACGTAAATTAACTAAAGATATTTACTCATATGATTATTAAACAATTTAACTGATCCATCTGTTTATTTTCTGCGTTAACAAAAGTCAGAATCATAATGGCGTATAAACATAAAAGAGATAACTAAATAAAATAAGCATTTGGTAGGTAATTTTTCCTCTAAGAAATAACAAAAAAGGAAAGAAATTTTTCTTATATAAAACGACGCCTAGTTAGTTATATTCGGAACATGATTTTACCAGATTTAAACAGATTTTTAACCGATAAAAGATTTATTCAGTACTGACTGAAACGCGTTGCCGCGACTCAAACAGTTAGAATCGTTATTAGTTGAAGAATATGGGTAATGTTTAGCCTGATTGATTAGATTAGATTGATTACAGTAAAAATTAAAAAATTATGATAAAGCAAAATTACTGTACAGATATAAATGACTAAGTACGGTTAAGTTCTATAAAGTTACTCACCCAAACTAATCTCTCAATACAGATTACGTCTTATTCTTGTATGTTAAAAGAAAACTGGGTAAAGTCCTTATTCGTCGAAAGTTATCTTCATTAGATAAAATAAAATAACTAAAAATCGTATACATGCTTATCATGAAAATGATGCTCTCAAGAGATAACAAAAGATAACAAAAATATTGTAACAAGAGATAACAAATAACTCGATTCGATTATTAGATGACTTTTATAGATGAAGTTCTTTGGTCTTGTAATGGACCGCGTCACTTTGTTTCCTTTTTGTGGTTCGGTCCTTTCCTGAATGGTTTCCAATTTTTCCTCCATCGGCAGTTTACCACGAACTTACCCGTTCTCAGGTCACTCTTGACAGTTTGTCCTTTGAAACCAGTGTACCCTTAGTCCGGACTTAGTAATCATCATGGACTTTGTGCTGTGTCGAATCATTCGTGTCTTCGTCCGAGGAGATGTTTTCTTATTTGTTTCATATCACTTGGTCTTGGTTTTTATGTCCGAGGTGCTACATATTGGTAATCGCTCTTGGTTCTTCTTTGTTTTTTTTTATGTTCTTCTTCTTTCTTTTGCGTTTTTTGTGTTCCTTTGGGGGCTTTCTAATGTTGTGCTCTTTTTCTACTGTTATCTCGTTATCCTGGGTTGGTACTTCTATGTCACTTCATTGTTTCTGACGTTTAAACGGAAGATTAAGAGATGAAGAGGTTACGAGTGTTCCAGATGTATCCGTTGCCGGAAGAGTACCAGGTGTGTAATTTAATAATTGTTGACTCACCTGAGGTTTTGATAAAGATATTAGAAGACGTACTTTTTGGTATAATGTTGCTTAAAATTCAGCATAGAGGAAGATCTCGAATGATTTCTTCCTACTTTTCTTTGTATTTTTCCATTTGTTTTTTAAATTTTTGCGCCTCTTCCAGAATTGAAGTGACTGCTGCCAAGTATTCTCGACGCACTTCATCATTTTTATTTTTCCAATGTTGTAGGTAACGGTTCCATTTCTCCATTGGAATTAATGGAATTCTATTTAGGTTATTCTGGTAAAACTCTGGAGTTCTTTCTAGGAAGACATCCATCTTTACAACATTTATTGATTCGTTCTGTGTTGTGTTTTGTTTGTTTTCCATAGCGAATGACTGCTTGATAATGTTTGGGGTTAAAGGATTCAGCGACGATATTCACGTATTACTCTTTGAACTGTCCCTTTCGGACAGAAGTTCGATGAACAATATGAGAAACTATGATGATGTATCTAGTTGTTCGCAAATTTTTCCCTTTTGGTCGTGTTCGGCGAACGCTTGATATAATTTTACAAAATCTATTTATCTCTTCTTCTGAAAGGGATCTTTGGATATTTTTGTCGATTTTAATAATTGGTTTTGTCGGAGTGTTAATCTCGTGACGCTTATTTCCTCCGCTGTTATTTCGTAATTCTCTGTTGAGAGGTGGGTTTGTATTTTTGTTAACACTTGACCGTAAGTGTGTTGTCTTCTGCTACTGTTTCCACAATCCAAACGCGCACAGACTCGCAAGAACACGCACGGACCTGCACAATCAAACTGTGTAGTAAATCGCTAACTGACTATTTCCGCAACAGTTACAAATCTTACCTTAGAATTGCTGTAGACGGCTAGTCGTTAGTACCTGGGAAGCGTATCAGCTTCCGGACTCTTCTCGTTCCTCTCCTGGTTACTAGTGGTCTGTTCTTTTCAGCTGCACTGCTACACTGGTGCAATAAGCTAAAGTGAAATAAAATATATATGTCTCATTCTAACTTATTGCACCAGTGAAACAGTGTAGCTGAAAAGAACAGACCTTAGAATTCCGCTGCTTGTGACACGATCGGGACACCTCCGCGAATACGTGTACTCTCCAAGATGGACTGCGGAAGAAAGGCCACGAGTCTCGGCCAAAGCCCACGGTTACGACGATTGAGTAAGAATCACACGCCATCTAGGTGTCCGCGCGCGCACTCACAAATCAGACTTTCACAATATTACTCAGATTTGAATAAGATATTTGAGTTCAGAGTCTAAGTAATGAGAGATAAATATCATTCCTTCGTATCTTTTAGTTTATTGCATGATCGACAAAGTGAAGATAAAGTGTGCGTTTGAGTAGAAGAGTTCGCGAGTTGCGGTCGTATTTGTTTTTATAAATTATTACAAAATTAATTTTATTCATACTATGCAAATTATATAAAATATCGTAATTTTATCTTATAATATTGTCATACAATTTAACTAAATGATATATTTATTATTGTACATATTTTTCCATGGCAATTTCCTGCAGCCACGATCATGAATTAAGAGAAATAGTACAACACGGTGTAAGAAAATCGGTCAAAATATGTAATGTATGTGATGATCTGATTTAACTAACATTTAGACGTACTTACTTTGTGATACCTGAGTTTCTTATACTCCAGTATTTAATATGTTGCGTTCCTGATTGTATAGATCCTGGTCGTGCTAACGTACTTTCATTTGGGAGCGGTGTACTTGGACACGGTACAGTTGGATATGGAGCAAATGGACACGTTGTAATTAGACACGAAATTTTGCCCACGGTTTAATTGGATACGGTGCAATTGGACACGATGAATTTGGGCACAGTGCATTTGGAAACGAGAAAAATGCGGATCGCTCATTTGGACACTGAAAGTTGCACGCTGGTCATTTGGACACGAAAAGTTGCACACCGCTCATTTAGACACGAAAAGTTGCATACCGTTCATTTGGATACGAAAAGTTGCACACAGCTAATTTGGACACCGAAAATTGCGCACCGCTCATTTGGACACGAAAAGTTGCACACCGCTCATTTAGACACGAAAAGTTACACACCGCTCATTTGGATACGAAAAGTTGCACACTGCTCATTTGGACACGAAATATTGCACACCGCTCATTTAGACACGAAAAGTTACACACCGCTCATTTGGACACGAAAAGTTGCACAC